AGTACTGGAAAAATGTCTTGCTTCTCTGGATGGTGCAAAGTATGGAATGTGTTTTGCATCTGGATTGGGAGCAACTACAGCAGTAATTCATCTCCTAAATGCTGGTGATCATATGATCTCTGTTGATGATGTTTATGGAGGTACATATCGCTATTTTAGTAAGGTTAGTATCTGTGGCTTTTGTCCGATTTCTCAGATTAGTCCTGCTGTAATTTTTATAAAAGGGAGGAGTTAGCATTGCATTTCTCGTTCTATTTCGTTACCCTTTCTTGTTTGGTAGCAGACTGTTATACCCTCTTATAAAGGATTACTCAAGAAGTCTGGGTCACAATTTGGCTACTTAAAAAAAGCAAAGCTATCCTTCTGCACATCATGTACGGTCCATGACTGTAATCTTGAGACTTGTGGGGTGAGGAAGTGGGAGGAAGGAGGAAAGATAGTGTCTGCCTTTAACGCTATGGACTTCCTGCATTCCTTGCAAGTCTCAAGATTACAGTCATGGACTATAGGTGCTTGGTGGGATGGGAGGTATAGCTCATGCTCATTCTTAACCTCAACACTAAAATTTAAACCCTGGCCACACTTTACCCCCAGCAAAGGACCCCGGTACCCATTGGACAGGAGGCTGTATGTGCCCCAGAGCTGGTCTGGATGCAGAGGCTACAGGAAAAATCCTCTGCCCTTGTTGGGGGTCAAACCCCTGATCGTCCAGTCCATAGTCAGTCACTATACTAGCTACCCTGGCTCCTCATTTTTCTACATGCCAAGAGCAATTGTGATGTTACAAAAATAATAACGTATTTTTTCATCATTATTTTATCAAATGTGGAATGTTAGGGGTATGTAGAAAACTGCATGATGATGAACATAATAATTTGTACTCCTCCCCCGATATTGTCAGGGTGATTAAGTCAGGAAGAATGAGTTGGGTGGGGCATGTGGCACGCATGGATGGGGCAAGAGGTGTGCACCGGGTATTGGTTGGGAAGCCTGAGGGGAAGAGATCGCTGGGGAGACCTAGACATAGATGGGAGGATTTGAAGGCAACTGGATTTTGTTGGCCCAGGACAGGGTCCAGTGGAGGGCTTTGATTAATTCAGTGATGATCCTTCGGGTTCCGTAAGCCATCTAGTTAGTTAATCATTGTGAGATCTGAGGTTACCATTACTGTAAAGTTGTCAAGTGTTGAAGATGTGACACTGTGTGCTTCAGAGAAATTTATTATCTGTATCTTCACTGAAAATGGAAATTTTATGTTTCTCTAAAACATTAGAATCTTCCTACAAGTCCACATGATATCACTACCCAGAATGACATTGGCATTTGTATCACTGATAGGCAAAAGAATAAAATTGTCTGTTGTAATACAATGTATTGAAGAAATTATTTTAGTCAAAATTTGTCTGTGACTGAATTGTTTGCTATACAGCAGACAGTGAAGTTTTTTGAATAATTTAGTAATATTAAAAGAGTTGTAAATCAAACTTAATCTTGTTTTGAATTATAGTTATACTACTAACTTTATTTCTGTGGAAATAGGTAGCAGCTCGTATGAATGTGGAAACTACGTATGTTGATGCTTCTGAGCCCAGCAATCTTGAAAAAGCCATCAGGTCCAATACAAAGTTGGTGTGGTTAGAAAGTCCAACAAACCCATTGCTGAAGGTTATGGACATCAAGACAATTGCTGAAATTGTTCATAAGAAGGATATTCTTCTGGCAGTGGATAATACATTCCTCACATCATATTTTCAAGTAATATTCCTTTTTCAGAAATGTAATATTAACTTTTACTATTTTTTATATGTGGATGGAGTGAAATTATATGTTTGTAAGGTCTATAATTGCTAATTACAAATGGCACTGGATAGTAAAGTTAAATAACTATCTTACATTTTCAGCGGCCACTGAGCTTAGGAGCTGATCTTGTCATTTATTCACTAACCAAATACATGAATGGGCACTCAGATGTTATAATGGGTGCTGTTACCACTAGCAATGAAGATATCCACACACGTCTTCGCTTCCTTCAGAATGGTAAGCAGCAACTCAGGAATGGGCACTTTGCAAGTGGTATAACCCTTTTCCTCTTCAGTATTTCTAATTTTGTTCGTTTTTATAAGTAGGGTATCAGTAATTTTCAATGTCAGTGTGTGTTTTGTTAGGAAATTGTAAGACTTATCTTCCTTGTACTCTTTAGAGTGAAAGGCTTCTGGGCAAGGAGTAGCACATAATTAGTGGTTTTTCAAAAGTGCATTTGCTATGTTGACCCAAAGAAGCTGAATGTTTAACCTCCTTCCTGCTTTCTTCAATAAATTTAAGCACTCTGTGCTAATTACGCAATTATATGCATTCTGCTGATCAAATTTTATTACTGCAGATATTTTTTAAAAAGATCCATTGCATAGAACAGAGAATGTTTATTTTGACCAAAGTTGTTAGCAGCTGACTGAAATACATACAACTGAGTCATTAGTACCTGAGCCTAGTTCTTATGTTGTGAGATCCATAAACTTATTAATTCTATTTGGAACAAGGGAGAAGTGTCAGAGCAGTGGAAAGAATCATTTACTCTACCTATTTACAAGAAGGAGATAAAAACTTTGTGTAGTAATTATCGAGGAATATGACTGTTATCAGCTACATAAAAATGTTAGCAACCTTCTTCTGTCAGGTTAATTTCTTGTAAACACAAAGTGGGATCATCAGTGGGTTTTGATTAACGACAGATCTCCACTTCTGAATTCTACAATTGTAAATTGCTGTAGAAGAACTGGGAGTACAATGGGACAGTACTTAAGCAGTTTACAGACTTCAAGAGAGCCTATGATTCAGTTAGGTGGGAAGTATTATACAGCATTATGATGAACCCCTAAATCCCATAACAGTGGAATTTCATAATCACATCATCTCATGAAACACAGTGCTATGCCAAATAGTCATCTGGTAAAGAGAAATGAGCTGTATGGGGAAAATATATTTAAATAAAAGTACTAATCTGAAGCACAAATTGTTGACACTGACATACCCAGTTCCTTCAGATGAAACTGTTCACTGTGCAGTACAAGATAATTTCAAAGAATTTACTTTTAGACACATTATCTCCTCTTCCATATGTTTGATGCTATACAGTATTATTGTAATTTAATATTTTGCAGCTTTGGGAATTGTGCCATCTCCATTTGATTGTTACTTGGTAAATCGAAGCGTGAAGACTTTGCATATCCGCATGCGTGAGCACATGAAGAATGGTCTAGAAGTGGCACGTTACTTGGAGAAACATCCATTGGTTGAGAAGGTGTTTCATCCAGGTACGTGTAATATGCTCATATAAATACAAACATTCAATTTAGAAACAGGATGATCATGATCACCAAAAATTACGTAACACATTCAAGTATATGCTATAAAATACAACTGTGCAGATGAAGAGGAAATTGATACTATTAAAATTCTCAGTAGTAAATTACTTAAAAGGAGAAGAGTTCTTAAGAAGTTGGTAGTCACTTAGATTCCTCATCTTTTTATGAATCTGGGTTCAAGGTCATATTCACATGAGTCCTCTACTGGACCATAACCTGATCCATTTAAATCTAGTTCCTGTATTCGCAGCCTGTTTCCTTAAGATCCAAAGTTATTTTATAAAAGAAGTATGCATTATCTTAGAAAGTGCTGTAATGATCCTTGTTATTTGCAATTTTGCAAACCTCATTTGGCTTGAATTTTATTTGCACATGAAAATCCATTCTCCCAAACCAATCACTACAGGTATCACATTGCACAGTGTCAGTAATTATTTTTAACATTTCCTTAAATATTAACAACATAAAAATATAAAATTAAACTTGTGGACCTTAATGAGGTCTGTATCTTATATATGCTATATACCAAGCTTAAAAAGTTCTTTTTAAAGAATTGATTGTTATTTAAGCATAATGTAATGTAGGAATTATATAATATCAATGTCTAGTGTAGACCCCCAAATATTATATTTCTTTTAAATCCATTTACTAGTATCAGAGATGAAACTGTAGAAGGATATGACCTAGTCATAATGCAGTCATTTTATGCACGTTATACAAAGTACACATCACTGTTGACAGGTGAATAGAATTTTTGTACATGGAGTGATATTATAAATATATACAGATTTGAAGATAACAATTTTTTAATTTAGTCAGAATCATAAAATATTTGTCCTAGACGGTCATTAAATTTAATGGATATGATAGAGTAATAGCTGGCAGCATAGCAGCAATATTTTTTCATCAAGAAAAGTTATTACTAGTACGTGACTACAAATTGTTTGTATTTCTTGCAAGTTACAGATAACAATGATTCTCAGAACAGACTGTGGTACTGATGTATGGAATCAGAGTAGTTAAAATTCTCATGATTTTTAGTTTTATAAAAAACGTTCCACTTTCCTACATTTTATGTGTTTGTTACACTGTTGCTAGCAAAGAGCATCTTATGGGTCCATTCTGTCTATCTGTCAGACGTGTCTTTCGGCTGAGATTGTTCTGCCATCTATCAGTGGTCTTACAAATTACATGTTCTGTAACACAGGATGAGCACAAAAGAACTTTATGCTTTAAGATTTATACAGAAAACAAATGCTGTATGCTTAGAATTTCGCATCTGCAGCAGTCAGAGTTTTCTACCCATCTCAAAAGACTCATCCCAAACTTTGTGCAGATTGATGTAAGCTATGGCAGTTATGATTCACTGCCTCAACTTTGGCAGTGATTGTGGCAGAGGCTGGGTGGTTCCACGTGAAATTGTGTGTGAAATGCATGTTGCGTATCGACGCGCGGGTGTGAAGTTCTAAGTATGCCACATTCATTTTCTGTATAATTTTGGAAGTGTAAAGTTGTTTTGTCCTCATCCTGTATAATAAATCAAGAACAACTGATTGGACTTTCATAAAATTTGGTGCGAGGTTGTTTATCCTTTGGTCTCTGCAACGACTGATGTCTCTGCCCATACACATATAACTCGAGAATGGCAGCTGAATTTTTATGAAATTTGGTATGAACTGGAGGCTGCTCCAAGCTTGTAATTTTTAATTTCATAGAAACATGTGCATTAGTTTGTAAATGTATCAGTTGTACAAACCAAGATGATAAATATGTGATTATCTTAAGAGAGTTGTTTTATTATTAATTGTTATTCAGCAGTGTGTGGTTTAAAGAAAATCTTTGGAACTTGTGTTTACTCCAAAGAGTGTACCTTTTTAATCTACTCTACTTAGTATTCTAATATTATTCCTAGTTTAGTGTACCTTCTAAAATTATGTTACATGTCTTTAATAATGAATGTCATGATATATTTATAGGTTTGCCTTCTCACCCCCAGCATGGATTGACAAAGCATCAGTGTTATGGACATAGTGGGATATTTTCCTTTTACATCAAGGGCGGACTGCGTGAATCAACTATATTTCTGAAGGCACTCAAAGTTTTCACACTTGCCGAAAGTCTTGGAGGCTACGAGAGTCTTGCAGAACTTCCGTAAGCATTTAGAAAAAGTCACATAGTCGTATCCTATTTTTATTTTGAAGGGACTATGCCTTTTATTTATTGAAATGGAGAATTGTTACATGTGCATTATACTTAAACATTCCCATATCATTTAAATTAATTTATATATAATATAATAAATGGTGTAAAAATATTGCACCTATTCTTATGTCTATTCCTTGGTACTACTACATTTTTTGTAACATTATATATGCATTATTATCTGAGACCATTCTTTGAATTCAAAACAATTCCCTTTTTTCCTGATGTTCCTGTTAGGTAAGGTGAAGGAAATTGTTTGTGAGGACTTGCCCGTGAGGCAGATTCCAGTGCCTTCCATAACAAGAGAGAAATTATTGCCAATAAATTGATTTACTTATTTATGGTTCATTTAATGATGTTCTAATTAGCTCAGACTATATAGTATCGAATGATGGGACGATCCTGGCATTATCCTTGATATTGTATTTGTGATTCAGAAATAGAAATGGACATTTAAAGTTCCTGCTGGTGGCTTACAGGCTGTAAGAGAGTGATCTGGAAGCATTTTGGGTGTCACAGTTAGTTTACAATTGTGCCTGACGTATCCTCTCAGACAGACGACAGTGTGGCATGCGTAGAATGTGTTGTCCAAGAAGACAAGTGTGTGACTTCACTAGATTGCCAACATCACCTACATTTCCATCACGAGTTCTCACCATATCATTCATGATGTTCTGCAGTACTGCAGTGTTGTCATGATAAGTGCCTCATCAACTGACAACTGAAACGAAGATTTCTATCTTCTGGGATTCATCTCCCTGATGACGAAGGCAGTATGACCTCTGAAATGTTGGTAAACATCTACCATACTACACAGCGCAACAACCCAGAAGACAGAAATCTTCATACTCATCGCCCTGATGACGAAGGCAGTATGACCTCTGAAACGTTGGTAAACATCTACCATACTACACAGCGCAACAACCCAGAAGACAGAAATCTTCGTACTCACCGCTGTGAAAACCTCAAATCAGGGCTTTTCTTGTGGTCTGTGGACAGTAGACAAACATGATTTGTGGTGAATAGATGCAGGAAGTCGCAGCCCAACAGCCGCAGCTCTCTCAGATAAACAGGACATGGTAAACCGTGTAGTAGTAGCTCTGTTCTCTCAAAAGTGGATATGGTTTTGCAAATAACTGATTCTTTTGTTTTTCAGTGGTCTTATGTAGATCACGTATGCTGTAATTTTTGCTACAACTGTACTAAAAATATAATGTATTTTCTTTTCAGCTCCGTGATGACACATGCTTCCATTCCTATTGAAGAGAGGGAGAAGACTGGTATCACAGACAGTTTAGTAAGATTGTCAGTAGGACTGGAATCATCAGAAGATCTCGTAGAAGATTTGGATCAAGCTTTGAAGGCTGTTGTAAGTATAGATGTGGGACTTCTATTCAGATGAAACAAGATATGAAAGTTAATTGGGAAGTGTAACAACTGGTACTATGGAACCTGACAGTTCTTTAAATGCAGCATTAAAATGCTTCTGCTGTAATCTGCTATCTCAGCCCAATTTACGTCACAACAATTTAATCATAATGTATGGTCTTTAGACTAACTGAAAATAATATTAAACATTTTTTTGTTCTAGGCAAATACATAAAATTCTTCTGAATAACAAGAGCTTCAAGAATGACTGCTGGTTAATATGGTATTTTGAAGAATGATGATGAATTTGTAATTGTGTTTCCAGAGTTACAGGAATATACCAATTATGCATTTCCTATTAAATATATTATTTTGAAGAACATTAAGCGTGTTGTCAATTTAGCCGATTCTTGGATGGCTGTGCCATAAAATTAAGATTGGCTAGCAGTAAGAATTATATGAGGACTGTTACAGAAGTAATGCCTGCTATTTCTTTCTACTTCAACCCTGATTACAATGCTTATTTCAGGCAAGATGGTTATATAACACACAGAGGGCCGTTCACACTGTCGACCGGTCGCCGGCGACCCAGTCGCTGAGCGACCAAACGAGGAGACCAGCGCAGACAGAGGCCTCAGCCTCAGTACTTTGGAAGCAGTCAAGCAGTATGGATGTCGAGGAGATCACTATAATGATAAAAATTCGTCAAACAATTCCACAACCTCTTCCCACTGACTTTTTTCAAGTCCCTGTTTGCATAATCGGGACTTGCAAGGTCCGAAATGGCTCTTCGTGACTCTACGGCCGAAATAAATCTTTCAGTATCAAAACTAATGATATACTGATCACTTGAGTGACATGAACAAGACAGGAGAAAACAAGAAACAATGGATATGTCACCTCTCTGAGCTCTGGTTGCTGACTGAGTCGCCCACAATGTGAATATGTGATTGCCATCTATGTATCTCGTGGTCGTTGGTCTCCCGTGCGTCGCTCACTGCGTGTTGGTCGTGGTCGCCCTCGTGTGTAAGCTGCTGACTGAGTCGCCCACAATGTGAATATGTGATTGCCATCTATGTATCTCGTGGTCGTTGGTCTCCCGTGCGTCGCTCACTGCGTGTTGGTCGTGGTCGCCCTCGTGTGTAAGCTTGTACTTAGCTTTTCTACCTAGTAGCCGTTCAGCGACTGGTCGACTGTGAAACGGCCCTTACTTTTCTATGAAGACCCTGTCAAATGCAGATCATTTTTACTAATGTTAAACCAGTTGATGTACAAAAGTTCACAACCAGGAAACCCTCTTGACCCAAAACAGATGGCATGCCCTACCATCAAATAGATATTTTCTGAATTTCGTATTTCACGGTGGCAGTCTTATGGTGCTATTCCTCAAGACTGTCACTTGTGTTCAATCATAACCTGTGATAATTAACAGAAAATTCTCATCATCAGCTGTGCAGCAGTTGAACAGTTCCAGAGAAATTGACTATGGGCTGCTTTGTGCTCTTCCATCAGTATCCTTGCGACTCTTCACACACAAATCTTGGAATTGTAGCGTTTTGGCTTATTTTGGTAACAATGTATCACAATGTATTTGCCTCTTTACCATAACACCACAGAACTGCCCTCAGAATCTGAATTATACCTCTTCGAAGTTAACATGAGATGCATTATTCTCTAAAGCACTAATTTTTAAATGGGGTGCTATGCCACGCTAGTATGCCTTGAGGTACCTGCACACGTGCATGAGACAGAAACTATAATATTACTTGGATACTTGGACGACCCATTCTTCAAGTGTCTGAGCACTGTGGGTCCCAACTTTTTCGTTGGCTTTGATCTATTAGACAGTTGGTAGGACTCCTTGGACGAAGGAAACTATAACTGAATAAAAATAATCTTTGTCAGTCCCCACTTCAACATGCAAACATACTTTCAAAATCAGTGTCCAAACTAAGTGCAATGGAACTGAAAAAATCGTTTGAAGCCCCATATTCCCTATCCTCACTTGCATAGACTAGAAAAAGGCAAATAAAAGTTGGGATTAAATGGGGAAGCAACCTGGGTTACCACAGAGATGTGGACCAGGTAGAAGATAACTTACGAAGCATAATAATAGTAATAAAAATAATGGTGAAGACATATCAAAAGATTACTCACTAAAAGCACACAGAATGTAAGTCCAAAAGAAAGAACCGACCATGCCGGAAGCAGGAAGGCAAAAGTCGCGGGAAAAGCAGCTGCAGCACAGAAGAAACCAAGAGGAGATAAAAGAGAGAAAATTGTAAGGAGAGGGGAAGACAGAAAGAGGAAATGCCCAAATATGGCACGAGAGTTTGCAAATAAAGATAAATGCAGAGTATCACAAATTTACGTAAGCAACTTTAAGGAAGTCGGAACCGATCTATGCACTTGGGACAGTCAAGTACTTGGACCTAGCTAATGAAACAAGTGTTGGAAGACAAATTTGACATTTTACAGGAGAAAATCTGGTGTTCTGCATATAACAATAGACTCTCATTCAAATGGTTCCGGGTTCAATCCTCAGCCAGATCTATATGTGCAGTTTTTCTGCTCACAGACTGAAGCCTGTACCTTTGGGAATGTGAAGAATGCCAGGCCCCTCCACTGTGGTTCAGAGACCATGATAAACCGTAGGTCCTCTCCGCTGTCTATCATTCTCATCCTATCATTTGTGGGCAACAAAGCCCATCCTATGGGTGCTCCTACCTCAGAAATGGATCCTACACCCTTGCCTACATGGGCAGTACGGTTATAAAGGTCATCACAAACCATACAAGGACGTACCAAACAAACAATTTATAGGAATTACAATTTGCTTCTTACCATACCTTGAACAGGAATGTTGTCAACTTATACTTTCAGACAAGTTAATATAAAATTCTTATTATAGCAAAACGAGCTTCAGAAGATACAAATTGCAATTTAGGTCAATAATTTACAACACAGAAATGGAGTTAGTACCTGAACTTATAACTTGCCTCATAACAAGTTATCCATGTTTTTCCGCAATTAATTCACTCTTTGTCTGCTTTAACACGACCAAAGTATTGCAAACTTGTAACACACTTCTCAGTATCCACTCTTCAACTTCTTTTGGAAGGAATGGAATACAGGACTTCAGATGTTGTCTAGTACTTTCTACACACTGCAATCATACACAAAACAAAAATTACATCATCATCAACAAAAGCCACTTATTTTGTGTCACACAAATTAAATACATTAAAATGGTGCATACTGGACATTTCCCTGTCCTGCTCCATGTAGCCCAGTCAGCTGGGTCCACCGACAAGAGCTGATCTCAATCGATGGACCTCACTATTCAACAGACTCAACTAACCTGGAAGCAGTCAGCTTCTGAAATGCCATACATTTTTAAAATGTTTAAATACCTGAAGGAAACAATCTTAAGTCCCATCATATCAACGTAGTAACGCATAACAATAATCACAAAACCACCAACACTGGTTTATGCTGTGTTCATTTCACCATATGTCTTGGTCCTATCAGGGTAGATGACCTTCACAGTATCTGGTTCAGATGTAACATGGATTTTTTGTTAGAAACCTTAGAGTCACTAAAACAAACTTAATGTCAATACTGATAAAATCAGGTTAAAATCATAAAAACTTATTTTTTTTGTCCTGATAAAATTAAAATATACACTACAGAACGTTATGGTAACCATCTTTTCAGTACTGTAGTTTGTGAGCACCATAATGACGGCTATGTTGCGAAGTCTGACATTCAAAGCCTCGAGCCCTGATATCACTTGGCTCTTCACAGTTCAGTTGTCTTCGTAATGAGTCATGTCCTCAACATTTTGAAGTCTGGGCATGGTATAAACATATCGGGTGATGCAATGGCTTTGAAGTGTATGTATTAATAACATCGCTATTGAACAGTAACACCAACATTCCTCCTAACCCATAAATCTTCAGCATCTAAGACAGGGCTACCCAATCTGTACCTCGCAAGCAATGTTGCCTGCAACACAGTGTTATGTTGCCCATGAAGACATTTGAAATAAAAAACCGTCTCTTAACACCAAAGCAACTGCATTCGTTTCCTGGCGAACTATGAAAGAGAACTTACCACCACTTTTATATTCCCAAGTGATCCTATCATAAATCCTTACTGTTAGCAGTAGCTTTTGCCGAGATTAAAAGAACATTGTCGACGACTGCCAATGTGTATTGTTATGGGGATTTTTCTGATGAATGGCTTGCAGATGTGCGGGCATCAGCAGTGGCTTCTTTCTGATATTTTCGTTGTCGGTCTTGTTGTGTGAAAGATCACACAAGTTAAAGTACTTAAGATTATGTCAAAAACCATATTAGAATCAGAAGCATACTGTTTATTTAATATAGGTTTGTCTTTAGCCTCCTTATATCTAAATTTTTATATTTATGGGATACTTTCAATAGTCACCGTGCTTTCAATTGGGCCATATTTGTGGTTATGGTCACAGATGGGTTGGGCATACCAACATTTGTCCTAATTACGTCTGATATCTCTTATATGTTCTTTATATCTAGTAATGAAGATCCTTCACATTTGGCCTATTTACCTGGGCACAGGTTAGGAATTTCAGATTATAAACACTACTATGTTACATTTGTTGAACTGTCTGTATACATTACAGTGATTCCTACTGGTATTATTGGCATCTTTAATCTAGTATTTATAAGATTTTTGTCAGGGTTCAAAGCCAAGTACATGAGGAAATAATCTAAATAAATTAAAATAAATATAAACTAAATGTGTATACATAAACTGATTTCTACTGAACTTCATACGCAGATAAATGGGTTCATTCTCAAAAATTGAGTTCTTATTTTGAGTTTCTAGGTTTAAAAATGCAATAAATACTCTGTATTTTGTAAAATCCAGCACTATGAGTCTGTTTAAATACCAATTAAATCTGTATGTGTGTAGACTTCGGGAATTTAAATGCTGAACGCTGAAGGTACGTACATTTTTTGGTTTTGTGATTATTGTTACATGAAGAAAACTGTCCAAGAATGTGCATCAATTTAATAACATAAATTTATCAAAAATCATGGGGCAAATTAAATTCCTGTTTTATTTAAAAATCACTTGCTCAATTTGGCCCATCTGTAATGTTGAGGTGCTTAAGGCTCCATAGAAATCAATATTAAATTATTTTTACAGATTCATCACTTCCACAAAAACAATCGACAGTCACAAAGAGAAGTAACCTTGTTAGTAGGTTTTGAGGTTTTCACGGCAGTGAGTCTGAAGATGGCTCTCTTATGAGTTGTTGTGCCATGTAGTCTGGTAGTAGTTTACCAATGTTTTAGGGGTCCATGCTACCTCAATCATCAGGGTGATGACTCATTGCCCTGATGATGGATGCAGCAAGGACCTCAGAAACGTTGGTAAACTTCTACCAGACTACACTGCGCAACAACCCAGAAGACAACCATCTTCAGAAGTAAATTTCACTATTAAAACTTATTAATAAAGATTTTATACTGCATCCTTCACCTTTTCCAGGTATGTGAGAGGCGGTTCAGAGCTGAACTCCGTGTTGAAATTTACTGTTGCTTCTGAACTCTCTTCATGCAATGCAATTATGGCATCCATTCTGCGCAGAAGCATACTGGTATTGAGTTCATCTGATATAACATTCACTGTTAACCGATATGGAATATTGGTGAGCTCATCATTTGGTTCAACTATGAGACACCTAAAGAAAATGTCAAAATGTACACAGTTAATTTTACTGTTTCACTGAAAACAACAAATAGTTTCCCTTTCTCTCACTTTAGTCCAATATACTCATATTTATCCAAACTATCTTTAATATCTGTTTTTCTTTCTGAGACTGTTTAGTCCAGTTTGCACCTTCATAATACATTTCTCTATGATCCATTTTAATACTATCCTGCAACTTCCAACTGGGTTCTGCTTCAGATTTTCAAATCAAAATATATTAATATCATGTTCTTCCTTTAATTTACATGTTTGTCACAGCGGCCTACTTGATTTAATCAAAGTATGAATAAGAACATTAGGTTAGAGGATTATGCAGTCTTCCATGCCCCATTTTGACTAAATTAAGATCCTCAGCACACTATCAAACACCTTGAATATCTGCTCTCTTCTCTGAGAAACAGGCCAAAGTCTCAATTTCATACAAAACAAGACACAGTTACCAGTACAAGTGTCCCATTACAAACCATGCTTTTTCATTTTTTCAGTGCATTAAATACACACCAAAATTCTACTTTCTTCCAGTTCTTGATCAGACTTTTATAAGCATACACAGACTTCAAAATATACAAAACTAAAATTTTGTGAGTATGAAACTTAGTCTCTCACATTAAGGGCAGAACAAGGACTGACAGTGTTTGAAAACGGTGAGCTTAGAACAATATCTGGATGAACAAGGGATGAAGTGATGGAAAGTTACATAATGAGGAGATCCAGAGTTTGTATTCTTCACCAAATATCATTAACATGAACAAATCAGAGGATAAAATGGGCAGGACACGCAGCATGGGAAGAGAAATGCATAAAAGAATTTTGTTGGAAATCCAGGAGGGAAGGGACTACTTCTAAGACAGGCATATGTCAGAGGATAAAATGAAAATGGATCTTCAGGAATCAGGTATCAGGGTGTATACTGGATTAATCTGGCTCAGGATAGGGATTGCTACTTGAAGCAAGTGTAGTAATAGCTTTTCAAGGACTCTATTCCATATAGTTAATTCCAAAGACAGTATAAAGCTGAAAAACTTGACGCTAAATAAAGCAGTATATTCTTTCTTCTTCTTTATTTATCTCTTTTCCAGAGCACAGGCCTCCTTTTGGAGGTTTCCTTTATCTTTTGATGTGTGCGTTTATGAGTAGTAGGTGGCCAACCCACTGCCTCTGTACAATTTCTACTCAATCCTCATTTGACTGCCAGAGCCATCTAGTAGCGAATCAGGAGAGACATGGGTGAGAAAATGGCTGATAAATTTTGCTTACAAAACATCTTGTTTCACGCTCGTAAGGTTCTTTTACATGCCGTAAATCTATGACACAGGACCGCCGGCTTTAATTCCCCTCCACAGGAAGTTGTGCTACGGATTTTTATCACCCCTTAAAAATCCATCGACCCTGGCCAGGTTTGAACCCACTAACCACTAGTCCACCGAGGGCAACTAAATAAAGTAGTATGGTACAGAGTAAAAAATCACTGACATATGCTGCATTATCTGGAAGATGGCCTACCTATATTCAGATGCCGATGTCCTATTTTCGGGGCAGTATGGAGACAGTATGAAGCCGACAAGAGGCGCTGAAGCTGTTTTAGCAAACCACTCCTGCATGTGACCTTGAGTGTCTAAGTCTTGAAGTGAAGGATTTGGAGAAAACGTAGGATGTGAATGATACCAGCCAACAACCTCTAAACCTTCATCATGGAGTCTCTCACTAGCTTCAGTCTGAGATACTGTAAAGATATTTAGTCTGAGTAAAGCATAATACAGTACACTCTGATCACATGGGGTATATTAATGGGTTGCAGATTAACTGGGGTCTATCTGGTTTATATGAAAATTGAAAATAATTTGGAAAACCTGCTGTAAGAGTTAGAATGTATAAAAACAAAGGAATAAATTCAACAATGACATATTATTTAATGTATTAACATTAATCAATTGTTGCTAAAACCAAAGTTTAGGATAATATAATATTATTATTATCCATTGAAATCCATCTTTAAAAAATTGTTGGTATGTACTATATTAAATTTGCCATAAAATCCTTTCTGTTATTAGTAAATCTCAAAAAATTTAAGTAACGTATATCTTTAAATTGCATGTTCTTTTTAATTTTTGTAAATTATCTGGGGTTTTGACTATCAGGGAAAATATATTTCCCAACCAATCCAGATAATCAGGATTCTACTTTACACCATTTCTACTAGAACAAATTAAGTACATGTTAGCAATTGAACATAAACTGGACAAATCAGTTGCTGAACTTATTTAATTCAGAGTTCACATTTAACAATGTACACACATATGCACGTGCACACATGGACAGACAAACCAACACACATACATAAACACACACTTATTATTACACTCCTTGGATCCATAAGTCAGTCAAAAATTGAATAAGTGAGAAAAATACACAGAAACAGAATGATTTAGCACTGCCTACATTAATTATATAAAAAACGTTCAGTCTAGCAGTTCCTTTTACTATATGATTAAAAGGGAATTTAAGCATATTTAAACCTTGTTCTCACACACACTGTAAATTCAATTAAAGTGTTTATAAAATAGTTATCTTACATTACTTCTTGTTAAAATATATACAAACTATCACTGGCTTTCTTGGCGATACTTAAGCTGTTAGTTTGAACACAATCCATTGCAATTTTATGAACAGAAGGTGTCAGTTATAACATCCCCCAAAATATTTGTTAAAGAATTGTTAAAATGTCTGTAATGCCAAAAACAGAATTTTTAATATATATAGCATTCCAATCCCCCCCCTCCCCCACTGACACAACAATATGCACTGATCACATACAAATATAAGATGGCTAAATCACAGTTCTGACAGAATATACGGCTTTGCTCCCATTAAGCTGCAAGTCTCTACATAACAGAAATACCAGTCAATCTGGTGATGGAATACAAAATTATGAGCAAAACAATGGCAGAATATATTTCATACCAGTATAAGACTTTATGAAAAATAAAACAGAATTATCAGATTTTCATATTACAGGTATTACAGCTAATAATATCTTAATAGAAGATGCAACTTTTAAATCATGTCATCATTAACAAGTCAAAATGACTTGTTTTAAAACTGTGCAGTACTGAAGTTGTATTACCTGGGCACATATCACAATGAATACCACTGCTACTACTTCGACATGCCACGGCACGCCATATCTGAAGCACGAGGCGTTTGGGGTCATAACTGCCTCCCAGCAAACCAATAACTTCTGAGTGTGACGAATGAGCATGGATATCCATAATAAGCAGTGGCTCTATGTGAAGTTCTACTGAATATGGAGCCTTCAACAGTAACAGACAAAAAAAATTATTTGTTAAATCCACAAACATAAATGCACTGTCAGTGTTGGTCTTCCGAGTTCTTATGCTGCATGGGCTTGTAGGTACGTACCAACATTTTAGAGAAATTTTAAAACCTTGCATACCACGCAGTGTTGAATATTTATCTAAAATATATAAAATAATACCCATGCAACGTCAAAGTTCACAATCCAGGCACAAACAACGCAACCACGGCCACGGCTCACCGTAGACCAACAACGGAAACCTAAACTTAGGCCAGTGGACACTAAGCTAAGTAACTCAATTTAGATAATACACCAACTCTCGTGCAATTTAACATCCAGTGTGGTATTATATGAAGTATGGTTTTATAAAGTGCGACCCTTTTATGCTCAGTGCTTTATAACAAACCATCGTCTTATGAATTATCTGATTTTAATAGACAGACTAATGAATTAATGTTTTTTGCCACTGATGATGACCTCGTGAGGTCGAAACGCGTTTGGAACCAAGTGTTTTTCAAAGTGTAAACAGTTTTGTTAGTATATATGATTTTATATATTTTAGATAAATACTTTACAGAAACTTTGTCTGTATCTTTACAGATGAAGATACGAGACAGTACTCTAGGTGTAATCTGTGTTTAATACAGTCCACAACTCTGTAGCTGATCATTAATCAATATAGAAATTAGTTCAGGACTTCTTTACGGGATTAATGGTGAAACATGTTTATCATTTATTACGTTACAAATGACTCATTTATTTAAAGAAATGTTCAAAACAGTTATACAAATATTGGTTTCTATAAACATAGCTACAGTGAAACCTCGATGCATCGTTTTCGGCGGGGGTGGGAAATAAAAACGATGAATGCGGGAAAACGATAGATGCGGGAAAGCATTAAAAATTTAAAAAAAAACAATGTTTCTCTTTCAAAGTTACTTCTTTTTACCAAAAAAGTCTTTAATGGACAACTGGTTTGTTGAAACTTTACGTTTTAGACCAAACAGAGCACTTTCCACGTTCAAAATGTTTTCTTCGTCACGTTCACTAATATTAAGCGCATAAAAGAACGACTTCACTTTCACCAATGCAGCGTGTACTTCGGCAAAACTCGGCAAAGCTTCGGGCGCGCATTCGTCGTCTTCCTCTTCCTCACCACTCCAACCCCCTTCGCGAACAATAACAGGAAGAATGGAAATACTATTACTGCCGAACTCAACGAAACGTAGCTGTAGAAGACCCTGAACCGCTGGAAACGAGATGAATCAGAAGAATGAAAAGTGCCGCCAGCCTTTCCTTTGTACTTGTAATAAAAGCATTTGTGAAGAAATTCACACTGCACATGCCATCTGGCATCGCTGGAACGAAATATGAGTGCACCCTAATTAAAATCGTAAAATTTCTGACAATGAGCACCGCCATTCACTCCAACTATCACCCCTGCACCGCTGACCCTCATTCCAAAAGAATGTGCTGGTTGGGCGACATAACAGGTTACCGCTACTGTTTATTCCAAAAACATTGTGCGTCTTTCGGTATTAATTTATCTCTAAACCCAGCATTTTAAATTCTCAGGAACGATCATTGCGGGAAAATTGTGGGCCGGGACTACGATTTTTGAACGATCGATGCGATAAAACGATAGTTCGAGGAACGATAGAAGCGGGAAAATGTAACATTATTTTATATGGGATGTATTCGGGACCGAACAAAACGGACGATGCATCCGGGAAAACGATAGTTCCGGGAACGATGGATAGAGGTTTCACTGTATTACTATTGTTTCTCACAGAAACCAGAGTCCCTCTATGATTACTGTTATGTCTTCGATATTCTCCCATAAGCCCAGAAGTAAAGATTGTGGAAACTTACTGGCTTAGACTCTGTGAACCTGTTGCAATAAATGAGTTTTATTGGTTTTGGTTTAGACATATGAACTTTGCTGGTATTTTTATGAGAGTCTGGCATAACAAAAGTTGTATGAATAGCCTCGCCATCTTCACTATGAGTTATTGTATAACCTCCTTCACCACTCACAGGAAACCAAGAATCCTGAAAAATAAATAACAAAAACACAGAAAATAATCCCATAAGTAGTCTACAGGGTATTTTTTGTAAAACTGAATGGATGCTTGTACTTATTCAGAATGTAAATGATTAGATTGTGAATCTTCATCACCATATCATAAATGGCAATAAAATGATTAATGATTATAGCAGTAACTGCATGTAGGAAAAAGACAAATTCACAGTTATAAACTAAATCTAAAGGTCTGTGGTGATAGTGTGATTTTAAAACAACAAACTCTCTGGACATTATCCATAATTTTGTTTTTTCAATAAAAAGCAATGTGCAGAGATAGGGACTTGCTCTATCAATTAGGCCCAGCAGGGTAGGTTTTTATCTGGAGACAGATTCCAGTCTCTGAAAAGTCATGTTTTAATGTTAAAACAAGACGAGGACAACGTCCAGGAAGTTTTTTGTTTCCGGTTATAAATTTACCTGGATGTGTTTCTTTTTGCGTGGTCGCATAGCATCAATTCGGGCCTGATGCTGAGCTGCCAGCTGTTCCTTGCTCACTCTCTCTCTCCCACTGCCACCAGCGGAAGCCACTACACTCTCACAGCCCCCAGCATTAGACATCAGGTACAAAGGTCGTGTGTAGCGAGTTTGCTCTATAAATGGTTAAATTTTTATTAACATGTGGAATATAATAAAAATTGTGATATCTGACGTTCTCATTGGGGTGAAGATTTCAAAGTTGGTATACTAAGATCAATCCTAGTGGAGGACAGCAGTAACCACCAGTACTGGTTTAGGGCGGAGAAGGAAACATTGAGAATGGCCTAATTCCAGAATATCATAGGCGGCAACCATAGATGTGATACTGCGATGGGGAAGGCAACGAGAAACCAACCCATTATGTATTTCTCCAGGATAATCATGGATGATGGCTGACGAGTGGCCAACATGATCGCCAATCATCGATAACGGTCAAAGCACCAGAAGAAGAATCAAATTTAGCTCCATTCTGAATGAACAGACTTTCTATACATTTAAAACACATGCAAATACACTTATGCAAGTTTGGAGATACATGCACGACATTGTACTATATAGCTTACCACAACCAAAATTGATTGCTCCGATCTGTTCAAGGTAGGCATGGATACGACCAATACAATTGACATCACCACAGTTCTTCAATCCCGTTCTCACAGAAGTTTTAGTAACGTACGTAGGTCGGCTATGTTGCCAGCATTCCAGGATGTGGTTTCGTATCTGTATTCACATAGTTAAAGGAACCCGATTTTAAATGAACTTCAGAAAACCTGATAATTAATTTGCAACAGAATGTTGATGAAATAAGCACTCTATCTTGATCTCTTATTTTGATAACAGATAACAATCCCACCTTTAAAAGAAAAGGAAAGAAATTCAATGTCGGAATTCAAAGAAATCTCTGAAGCAAAATACTGCCAATATAAATGAACCAATTACATTTCACCTTTATTACACAACAGTTAACATTTTATTAGTATATTAATGATCACTCCGTAGATTTCATATTTTGAAACAAAATAAATTACAATACACTACCACATAATCCATGCCATTATGTACTTCAAAAACCCTTATTTTACATTGTGAACTTCTAACAAGTTCCCATATTTCATGTATTTAATTACTGTGAACAGTAAACTCCTGATAGACTGTGTGCTCATTTTTTCTTTTTTACATAAATGCAGACACATGCAAACTACATTTCTACACCTACTTCAGAGAATGGGATGGTTGGTTTTGGTAATGTCCAGAGATGATGTGGTCAAACAATACCTTTCTTAGTGATTTAGAGTCAGTATTGGTGATGGGGTGGGGAGGTTTGTTCT